AGGTTTCATTTTGTGAAGTCATCAAAATGCGTAGTAGTAGTAGTAGTAGTAGTAGTAGTAGTAGTAGTAGTAGTAATACTTTAAAAATTTACCCAAGTAATTCTTGTTTTCTCTAGTTAGCAATATCAACATTAAGTTAGTTAGTAAAACACCATATCTCAGAGCTTTTGCTAAGTTACTTTTAGGGACTGCAGCTCCCAGAATCCTCAGTTGTAAATAAATTAAGATAAATCATGGGTTGTTGTGGGTTTTTCAGGCTCTTTGGCCATGTTCTGAAGGTTGTTCTTCCTAATGTTTTGCCAGTCCCTGTGGCCGGCATCTTCAGAGGACAGGAGTAACACTCTGTGCTCTGGTGCAGTTTGTTGGGAGTTGAGTATTTATAGCTGCGGAATCAACTTTTGTCCTTTTCAGGAGATGGGTGATTATTCTGATCAGTGTGTTTTTGTTGTGTGTGTATTGTTGTGATAAGGAGGAGAGATTATCTGTCCCTGTGATTGATGGGTGTCGTTAGCTGGTCTTTTGTTTGTAGTGGTCACCGGTCCTTGTGGCTGGGTAGAGTTGGTTGATCTTTTGGAGGCTGTATTTTTCAGTGCTGGAAGCCAGGCTTTGTGGAGTTTTAAACTTTCTTCGTTTTTGTTGAAGTTCTGCTGATTGTGGATTTCAATGGCTTCCCTGTGCAGTCTAACGTAATGATTGCTAGTGTTGTCCAGTATTTCAGTATTTTGAAATAGAATTTCATGTCCAGCTTGTTTTAGGGCATGTTCAGCTACTGCTGATTTTTCCGGTTGTATTAGTCTGCAGTGTCTCTTATGTTCTTTGATTCTGGTGTGGATGCTTCATTTTATGGTTCCAATATATACCTGGCCACAAGTGCAAGGTATCCAATATACTTTTGCAGTGGTGAGGGGGTACCTTTTGTCCTTTGTTGACCATAACATTTGTTGTATTTTTGTGGTGGGCCTGAATACTGTTTGTAGGTTGTCTTTTTTCAAGTGGTACCTCGCTAGACAACAACCCCGTTGTACGATGAAACTGCATGACAATGACTTTTTGCGATTGCCATAGCGATTTGCGAAACAGTCATTCCAGTGGGGAAATTCCGCTTGATGACGATTTGGTCCATGCTTCGTGGACCAATTATTCGTAAGACGATGATCTTTACAGCTGATTGTCGGGTTCCTAAATGGCTGCTCTGTGTTTTCCGGACCCATGCTTCGCAGGGCAACCATTTTAACAGCTGATCGGCGGTCGGAAAATGGCTTCCCTATGGGCGATCTTTGCTGGACGACGAGGTAATTTCTCCATTGGAATGCATTAAATGGGTTTCAATGCATTCCAATGGGGAAAGGCTTTTCACATGACGACAATTTCGCTTAACAGCGATTTTCCTGGAACGGATTATCGGCGTCATGCAGTGCACCACTGTACTCCTGCAGTGGTGAAGGGGTCCCTTCTGTCCTTTGCTGACTAACATTTGTTGTATTTTTGTGGTGGGCTTGAATACTGTTTGTAGGTTGTGTTTTTTCAAAAGTTTCCCCATGCGGTCCGTGACCCCTTTGATGTATGGCAGGCTACGTTAAAAAACAAAACAAAAAACAGTGCTTTACATCTGCTTCACTTTCCCACACACCTTCCCACCCCTGGCCAAAACTGCCCTGGACAAACAAGTGGCATAACAACAACAGAAGCTACTGTATCCCGTAAGTTTCCCCTGCAGGATATCTAAAATTTTAAATCACATTTCTGCATGCTTCTCCCACACAGAACCAATGCAATAGCAGATCCAAATTCTCCCAGGAAAAACCATTAAAATAGGACTCATGCAACATCCCCCCAACCAATGAAAACAATAGCCAGCAAAAAAATTAAAACTCAGTTTTTAAATTGAAACTCACAACCAAAGATCCAGGCAGCCACAAAACACCAAAAAATTTTTAAAACCCATTAAAATAAGACTCATGCAACATTCCCCCCCCCCAAACAAGGAAAGCAATAGCCAGTAAAAAAATTAAAACTCAGTTTTTAAATTGAAACTCACAACCAAAGATCCAGGCAGCCACAAAACACCAAAAAATTTTTAAAACCCATTAAAATAAGACTCATGCAACATTCCCCCCCCCCAAACAAGGAAAGCAATAGCCAGTAAAAAAATTAAAACTCAGTTTTTAAATTGAAACTCACAACCAAAGATCCAGGCAGCCACAAAACACCAAAAAATTTTTAAAACCCATTAAAATAAGACTCATGCAACATTCCCCCCCCCCAAACAAGGAAAGCAATAGCCAGTAAAAAAATTAAAACTCAGTTTTTAAATTGAAACTCACAACCAAAGATCCAGGCAGCCACAAAACACCAAAAAATTTTTAAAACCCATTAAAATAAGACTCATGCAACATTCCCCCCCCCCAAACAAGGAAAGCAATAGCCAGTAAAAAAATTAAAACTCAGTTTTTAAATTGAAACTCACAACCAAAGATCCAGGCAGCCACAAAACACCAAAAAATTTTTAAAACCCATTAAAATAAGACTCATGCAACATTCCCCCCCCCCAAACAAGGAAAGCAATAGCCAGTAAAAAAATTAAAACTCAGTTTTTAAATTGAAACTCACAACCAAAGATCCAGGCAGCCCCAAAACACCAAAATTTTTTTTAAAACCCATTAAAATAAGACTCGTGCAACATTCCCCCCCCAAACAAGGAAAGCAATAGCCAGTAAAAAAATTAAAACTCAGTTTTTAAATCTAAACGTGCAACCCAAGACCCAGGCAGCCACAAAACTCCTCCCTGCAATTTACCCAAAAATAAGAAAATAAAAATATCTGTAAGACTTATGCAATAAAACCCACCACCTACACAAGAGAACAAATGTAAACTTACCTTCTGCTGGCCAAGTTCTCCAGAAGAAACCAAAGTTGCTCCTCACGAAGTCAGCCTTAGAACTCCACGTGGAAAAGTAAGCCCAGGATGACTGGGGAAGGGTTTTTAAACCTTCCCGGCACAAGGCATAATGCATCCTGGTTATTGACTGTTGAAATTTGAACGAAAACAGCAACAAAGAAAAACACCCTGGAGACAGTCGTATTGCGAAACAGCGACCGTTAAAACGCCGTCTAGCGAAGCGCGGAGCCCAGGCTGTCAAAACCATCGTAAAGTGAAACAGGGGACCCAAAAATTAATCGTCTTGCGAAGCAAGGTCCCAAACATCGTCAAGCGAAAATCGCCCATAGAGACCATCGTAAAGCAAAGCGCAAAAGCACTCCAAAAAAGTCATCGTAAAGCAAATTTGTTGTGAAGCGAAGCAATCGTCTAGCGAGGCACCACTGTACAGTAGTTCAGACTTGATTTGATCCAGGATGCACTTGTGAACCTACCTGGCCTGGTATCTTCTAACACTCTCATCTGACCCAAATAAACAGTGCTTTCAAGAAGTTCCAAAAAAAAAAAAATCCACATTAACTATTTTGACTCTAATACCAAACCTGCAAAAATTACCAACTCCTGTTAGATGGTCTGGCAGCCCAGTTTATCTGCAAAGCTGTCCTCCAGCATCACATTTCAAATGAATCATTTTTTTTCCTGTCAGCTTTCTTAACTGTCTAGCTTTCACCATTTATACATGGTAATCAGGAATACAAGGATATGGATGATCTTGGTCCTGGTCTCCAGTGACACATTGTCACGTTCCCGGGGGTTACAACAGCCAAAGTCCAATAAACCAGTCCAGGGTCAGGAATACCAAGAATGCAAAGCCAATGTCCATAAACCAATTCACAGAATGCAGTCCAAGGTCGGAGTCCAGAGTCAGATACACATCGTAGTCCAGGGTCAGAATCCAGAGTCAGGAACATGATTCAAGGAGCATGGATGCAAGCCAGGGGTTTTGACTTGTTGCTTCCACAGAAATTCTGGTTGACTAGGAGCTGTTTTATACTAAAACAGCTCCTTGAGCTGCTGGAAACCTTTCCATCCTGTTAATACTCAGAGCTAGTTGAACGGATATTTCTGTGGACAGCCTTTGAGCGATCCTCTGACCTTTTTGTCCTAAGTCTTTCCCGAAGCCTGGCCCGAAGCTTGTCTGCTGGGGAAGGAGAATCTGGAGGCGGTTCAGGTGTTTCTGATCTCTCAGCATTCTCTTCAGCCTCAGTTAACCCTTCTGGTTCCGGGTCTTCGGCTGCACTCATGACACACATATTTTGTGATCTTTTCTGCTTCCTTTTTAATTTCTTCATTGCTGCCCTTCCAAGTTTCAGCCTTCCTCTAGTTTCTTGACTGAAGTCTCGCTTTGGATTGATGATTGTCCAAGATACAGTACACACAATCTTTCACTATTTCAATTTCTTTATTGCTAATGTTAAAGTTTTGTACAGTGGTGCCTTGCAAGATGAATGCCTCATGGGAGAAAAAACTCGCAAGACAAAAGGTCTTGAGAGTTTTTTGGTGCCTCGCAAGATAGCCCGTCTCGCGATATTTTTCATCTTGTGAGGCGCGTTTCCCATAGAAATCCATTAAAATTTAATTAATGCATTCCTATGGGGGGAAAAGTCAGAAACAAAAAAAATCAACAAAAAGTCATTTACCACGCACAGTAGACTGAGCCCCGCTCCTCACAGTGCCTTTGTAGCCCTGGAACAGCCGAAAAAGAGCGCCAAACAGCTGAGAGTCGGCAACCAGCAGGGAGGCGGCAGCCATTTCGCGGTCATCTCTGCTCCTGCCCCCCTCTCCCCGCCTCTCAGCTGATTGGCAATGGGTCTAAGAGGCTTCCTGGTGCTTTTTCCCTGTCGTTTTATGTGCTGGGCAAGCCCTGGGAGGCTTCTGAAATTGTGGAAAGGAAGAAATACTTTTTCTTCATTACACTAAAAGTTTTAGTACTGTTATGAATTTAGTGATTGATGCATTATAAGATAGTTCTTGTTTATGGGATTAGCTCATTTGGCTAGAATCTAAAAAGAGCTAACAATGTAAAAAAGTGTACTAACATTGATATGTATTGTACTTCCAGTATATCCTGTAACCATGACAACTGAAGGTGGTTCAGAAACAGAAGTAAAGGAATCAGAAAAGCTGGAAACAAAAACAGCAAAAGAAAATGCTGGAGATGCACCAGAAAGTGAAAAAGAACAGACATCTGAGACAGAAGGAGCTTCTCCTACACCCCAGGCTCCAGTTGGCCAAACTAATCCTAGTAGCTCAGGAGGAAAAGGTATTTCTCGTTTCATCCCCCCTTGGCTTAAGAAACAAAAATCATACAGATTGGCAGAACCCAAAGACGAAACCAAGAAAAAAGAGGCACCAGCATCCGAAGAAGAGACAGTAGCAGAGGAGGGTGAGAGTCGTCTTACAGAAGAGTCAGCGCAGGCAAAGGGAAAACAGGAGGACATTGCTAAGAATTTGCAGGAGGCTAAAGTAGATGACAAAGAAGAAGAAGAGCATGCTGTTGCTGAGAAACAGGTAATGTTATTGAATGAAAACTTTAACACAGCATTTTAATGGTCCCATATGATGGACAGCTACTGTTAACTTAAACATTCTGTTCACAAATAATGATTCTGTTGGTGGTTTATTTCAGATTATTATTGCGGAGGTCATCAGGTAGCCTGGAATGAATTTTATGCTTTCATTGTACTTCTCCCAAATGCTCATAATGGTCAGGTTGCTGTTCATAAAATGAGCATCTTAGATTGAAAAATGAAAACGACAAAGAGAAGTGGGGAACTAATATAGTCTGTAAAAGTCTGTTTGTCTTACTGCTTGTGATGAGAGTAATTTGCACTGTTGTAGAGAGACTTCATAAATTGGAAGAGCATTAATTTTCATCTTAGCTGATCGCTGGCGACACAATTCTATCCATTGGATAAATGCTACAATATAGAAATAGGATAATTTTTTTCTGTCTGAGATCCAGGACTCTAAAACCTATAATGTAAAATTTGGCATGTTTATTGAAGAGACAACATCTGGATGTACATCTGGAGGTTATTTAGTGCTTAAATCCCATTCATTAATGTATATGTATCCATGCCTTCAAAGTTTGTAGTACCACATTTGATAGCAGACTTTCACAACCACACATAGTATTGCAGCTGATACAGTTTGAAGCCATGAAGGATATGAAAAAAAGAATTATATCCCTCTTCCCACAGCGATGGGGCAGGCTTGCTTCTCGGAAAAAGTGCCCAGACCCCCTTCATCCGGGGACTGTAGAGGTGTATTCTGACACTTATTGTACCTAGGAGTTCAGCCATTGCTTTGCTCAGATAGGTCAGACATAAAGTATTCAAATGTCACAGAGATATTAACTTTTCTTGGCAGTTTCAGTATATCAAACTAAGAGTTGGTGCAGGCCTTGAGAAGCTAGATACTTTTGTTAGTAGAAAATGGATGTGAGTGATTGATATACTAGCAAAACATTTTTGTAGGATCCATTTTTGTTTAATCATTTTAAAGTCTGTAATATTTTGTTTATTTTCCAGTTGTATTAGACATCTCAAACACATTGTCCACTTAATATAAGTACTGGTTTATAAAAATGGCTCTGTAACCAGGAAACTAGAATTGAAAATTAAAAATCTGTTTTATTTACTGTTGTGCTATACTAGGTCAAAAATTTGCATTTGAGAAAGGCAGGGTAGAAATAAAATTTATAAATAGCTTATAAGCAGAAAGGGTTGTAATAAATGAAAACCAAATATTAACTGCCAATCCAAATTGGGTCCCAGAAAGGTAGAATGCTAAATAGATCTATCTCCACCCTACCACTGTATTGCAATCTATGTTGTATGCAATCGCTCACTCATACTTTGCTCCCCATCTACTCAGGTTTTACTGATAAGAGTCTGTCTTGCTAAAGCCAGTAAAGAAAGGTGTGTTGGATACTACCTGTAGCTAATTATTTGTTATCATTGTTCTCTATGTACAGATTTCTGTCTATTTATAGATATGTTTCTATATACTAGAAAAAGGCTGTCGTGGTGGTTTTTATTATAAAGCATTTTATGGAGTCATAAAGCAACACTGGCTTTTTCTTCTAATTTATCAGTTGACTGATAACTAATAACATGTATTAGAATCTAAAATTAATGCAATTATTAATTGTACTGTTCTGAAATACAGTCTCACCATGTGTTAATATCCACTTTCTTGTGCAGCCTACCAAAGACGACCGTAAGGTGATTGTTTCTGAGGTGGAAGAAAAGCAAGATGAAGAGGAAAGGAAAAGGGAGACCAAAGAAGTACAGACAAGTGAAATCAAAACTGAGAAAGCTCTTCAAAAACCACCTAAGAGGATCAGGACTGTACAATGTAAAGTTGTGCTCTTGGATGGTACTGAATATACCTGCGATCTTGAGGTAAGCGTGTGAGATGTTAAGATCTTTTCTTTGGGACAAAAAAAAAGTCCCATTGCATCAGGGTTCCTCAACCCCCGGTCTGTGGGCCAGAGGGACAAATCTCCTGCTCCCCCCCCCGCATGTGGAGACATATGCACAACCCTCCCACGCACGCACAGCCTCTCCCATGGCTGCTCACACATGGCCCCTCTCACGCATGCACAGATGCCCCCGCCCCACATTCTAAACCGGTCCATGGAGGCAAAATGTTGGGGACCACTGCATTGCATAATGTAAGCAAAGTAATATGTTTTGATCTGTTCCCATAGGTAAATAAAGAGCCCTTGCTGCATTCTTGGGTGCACACACACCAATCCATTGTGTTTTTGTGCCCTCAACAACCGCAGCAGGAGCTCTTTATTTACCAGGGAGGAACAGACTGAAATTTAAGATTTTGCTTACATTCAGCCAGTGGGTACAGTATATTTTTATTTGGTGTTGACAAATGACTTTTTTAAAGTTGACATATTCCTAACACTATGGAATTTACTCTCTTTTTAAGGTCATGTCTTAACCTTTCAACCTTCAACTGTTCTTTGAACTGTAGTATAGTTATCAAAAATGCAAATGCAGTAGGCCTTCTGTAGAAATATTTGATATAGGCTTCCAGATGTACACAGATATTCTTTCCTTTGAGCCTGATGCTGTTCTCTCAGCAGCAACCCAATATCAAGAAGAGTGAATGGGGCGTTTACCTATCACAGTAATTTACTATGTTCATTCCCCCACCCCATCTCTCACAAAGACCACAGTGGTTCTTCGGGCCCTTCACAGCAATTTTAAAAATTGAATTAAGAATTACAGTTTGAATAATAAAAAAACAGCCAGATAATGCAAATACAGCTCCATTATTATTTCTAAACATGGGCTTTTGATAGAGGAAGGTTTCTACCACCTCTACACAACCTTGATGCCTGGTGAGTCTCTGAGGGCGAAGTTTTGAATAGGTCTTGTTGTTCCTGGCACTTTATAACATATTGAGTAGATGTCTAGGATAAAATTGCAGCTGTTATCTAGGAAACAATCTTTTTTAGCATACACAGTTGAAAAGGAGGAGGGAGATTAGATAAATGGGCAAAATGACTGATTTAGTTTGAAGGAAGGAAGAAGAAAAAAGGAGATAGAAAGAATAGACAAATTCCAGGAAAGGAACCTGGTGATGCTTTATGTTCTAGTCACAATGAAGTCCATTTTTTCTAGCTTCAAAGTATAATTTAGCACTGGAAAATAGCTCTGCAAACTGGAGACCTGGTGTGAGTGTAATATGTGGGTGTATGCCTATATGGTCCAGTTGGAACTGAGTGAATGTGCAACAGATTAGAGGAGCGGTTCCCAACCTTGGGTAACCCAGGTGTTCTTGCACTGCAGTCCCCACGGGTTTTCTCCATCAGCTAGGGTTTCTGAGAGTTGTAGTCCAAGAACACCTGGGTTACCCAAGGTTATTGGGAACCACTGGACTAGTGGTAGCCAGAAGATTAAAGGAGACTGGAAGACAAGCATGGTCTTTCTCCTCTAAGGGGAAAGACCCAGAGGGAACTCTGAAGGCAATTATACAGAGAACATCTATCCACACTGAGTGTTTGTTCAAATTTCCTTGCAGACGTCATACCAGTACTGTACCCCAGTAAGGTTTAAACTGTGGTGGTGATACCAATAATAGAAAAAAGTAATAGGAAGGAAGGGGATATGAGAGAGAAGCTGTGGTACAGTGTTTCCTAACCTAGGTGTTTTTGAACTGCAGTTCCCAGAAGTCTTCACCACCAGCTGTGCTGGCCAGGGTTTCTGGGAGATGCCGTCCAAGAACACTTCGATTACCGAAGGTTGGGAACCACTGCTCTCGGACATTGCCTTCATTTTATCATCTATTCCCCAATCAGAACAGTACAGAAAATAATTATAACTGGAGAGAGCAAGATAACATACTTAATTCTCCAGTCCTTCTTGCTCTTCATCCTTCAGTATTTTTCCTAGTTTTTCTCGGAGACAGCTGCTGGTAAGAGCAAGGGTGTTGGAATACAAACAGACTGTAAGTGAGATATCCTGCCTTCATTTAGTCTCATGGCAAAGCTGCAGTGCTTAAAAAGAATCTTTTCTGACACAAAGAATCCATCCATAAGCTAATGGCAGATTAGGCACATAACCTGCATTTGGGATCTCTACTATAAAGATTAAGGTCAGTGTCTCATTTCAGTTGTTCTAAGTCTCTTTCTTGTGATGTTGCAACACTTTCCTGCTCACACAGGTGAGAGAACTGTCTTTGTTTTTAACCTGTTCTTGAGTTTTTTATGTGTGTGGATATTTATTTGTGTGGTCTAAAACTCCTGCAGGGTCTGAGCAGCTTTAATCAAGCTTAAACATCAAATAACATCAACTAGATGTTTTCAGGGCTTGTTGATGTTATACATATTTAAGTTTAGTATAGACTAAAATAAGGGTTGTTCGTTTTCTTGAAAATGTGGAATGTGAACATCTTCTGCATTCCTGTATTGAGATCTGTTCTAATCTGTTTCTTTTATAATTTTAAAATTGTCTTTTAGATATGCCATGCTGATTGTAATGCTTGAAAATTATTTTCCAGTAGCCAAAACTACCTGTTGAAAATAATTGAAGCCACCCTTCTTGTGGTTTGAGATGCAGTTATATTGAAATATAAGCATAGCTATACCTGGAAGGCTATTTTTGTTGGAATACTTCTTAATATTTTGAAATGTGAAAACATAGTAAAAATATTTCCTGAACACACTGAATCTTCTAACATTAGTAGGCTTGACTCACTGTGAGCATAAATAAATCCACTTTCCATTGATAGTCATTTGAAAATAATTAAATACAACTTTGATTGTAGTCGGACTTATTAATATTAATTCATTTAAGATTGAATTAAGATCGAAGAGAGAAGCCCCCCAAAGGTGCCAAATAGAAGAGGATTTTTGCCTTTACTCGTCCTTCCCCTTAAAGCCTGTGGCATGGGTAACTGAGAAGAAAGGAACAATGTCTGAAAGTCAGATAGTGGGACTTTATGTGAAGACACGTCTTCCATGTGGAAGATGCTGTACCTCTTTCTGATTTTCAGAGATCTCCCCCCCACCCCCCACAGCACATGTGTCATACCTTTTCCCATTAAACAGATCCTTCCATGCTGTGTAGATGCTTTTTGGTGTTGGATGGGAAAGTCTATTTCTGCCAGTTCCCTTCCACAGGCTTTTCTCTGGATCCACTTATAAGTTACTAATTAATTTTTACAAGCCATACATTTCTATAAATGGGGAAAGTTGACTAAAAATAAATATGATGGCATAGTATTTTGAGGAAAAGTATGTTGCTTCTGACTTGTTTTATGCATAGATAAAAGTTTGAGTAACGCATCAAAAAATAACAAATGAATTTTATTTAGTTACTTGTATTATATTCAGTAAATCTTTGGTTCTTAATGATTAATACATTTATTAGTGCATAAGCTATCATGGACTGCTGCCAACTTCATCAGATTCATCTACTGTTGTTCTAAGTTACAAGCAGTAAGTCTGGCCCATTAAGACAAATGAGGTACCCTATCCTCACCAGTTAACTCCTGTGTGTCTCATTCTGACCATTGTTTATAAGTACTAGCTAGCACTGACTATGAATATATATAGACTCATGGTGGCCTGTGGGTGAAATGTAAACAGTGAGATTAGAAGAAATATCGGAATTACAAAAAGTGAGAATTGTCTTAACAGTGCCATTCACATGTTTGTTGCATGATAATGCAGACATGTCTTATATCTGCTTTTTTATATCTTTTATTTTTTGCTTAAACTTTCTGAAGTTTCTCTCACTATCTGTGAGTTCCTTGTAGTGTATGTATGAGCAAAGTGCTCACCCACTCACTTATCAGTGGGTCGTCATCGGTAATGTTTTCTTAACTGAATTTAGAGACCGTATCAATGTATTTCAAGTTTCTCTGATCTCCACTTGGCAGTAAAGCATGACTGTGAGCAGTATTAGTAGAAGTATTAAAGTACAGTATTGGATCAAAGTGTATGTGTTTTTGCCAAGTTAACTGTTAAGTAATTTGTATCCTTTAACTTTGAGTTTTCTACTGTCTTCGTCCCTCCCTCCCAAATTTGCTTATTCCCATCAGTCCTATTGAAGGGTACTAAATGACAGAAGTAAAATTTCTCTGTGAAATATTCTTAGACCATTTCAATGATAGTACTATAAAGAGCATTGTTTCTAAAATAAAATTAGAATGTATGCTGTTGAACTATACATACTGATAAACTCCCAGTTCTGCTGTGTATTTAAGCACTTGTTTGAGGCAATGTAATGAGGAAATCTATATAATCAGGCTCTGATTCGTTTTGTAAATACTCAGCCAGTCTAAAAAATGCCATATGATCTAAAGAGCTGATTTACCATTCGGTTTGTATCTGAAACAAATGAGAAGTACAGCCTGTCTGCACAGGGTGCTGTTCTAATTAAACTTTTATGACAAAAGGCATTTGAAAGTTGACTGCATGACCATATTTCATGCACGTCTGAACAGTTGAAATGTATTGAAGTTGACATAAGTGTTTTAATGATTTCATACAGTTTACTTAGATGAAGTAGATGACTGCTCTTGCTACCCTAGGAAGAATGAAACATTCAATACCACATGACCTATGGTTTACTAGAAATGTGTTATGAACCATAAACAATGTTTATTCAGTCTTACTCAGTTTTGAGAAATTGTGATCACAGCCTTAGTGAATTTTATTTATAGCAGTTTGGAAAAAGCCCAATTCAAATACTTACATTATGAAGCTAGACTTGGATGTTCTAGTTTTCAGTCTGATTTCAGGATGAGGGTCAAACTGCATATGACAGTCAATCACTGGTAGTTTCCCCCGATCTTTCTTGCAGCATGTGGCTGCAGAACTTCAGTCAGAGTAGAAGACTGACAAATGGTGGTAAATCTGTTTTTCTTTCCTGCATGG